ACTCACCCTTGAAGTCTGCACGGTTCATCAAAGCGAGAGTTCTTATTTAACAGTCGAAACATTTTTGAAATGTGAAATATTTACCACTCTTATGTTAAAACTCAAAATATGGCAATTAATTGATGTAAATTTTCAATTTCAATGGAAATAGTAAAAATATATTTCAATTTAAATGTAAATGAGCATTAACCGCATTAACTTTAAAGAAAAATCCAGATTTTGCTTTCAAAGTGAAAAAAAGTTTGGATATTATAAAATGAAGATGCATTACATTGCTTGTTTAAGATAGACCTTGATTTAAAATTTTTTTAATTTAGTCCATCCCATCTCGCTCGGCGGCACAGATGTAATAACACACTTTTAATGTCCATATTTAGAAATAATAGAACTGTCAGAAAAATATTTTTGAAAAATTTATTTATTTAAAAAATATTTAAACGAATAAAAAATATGTAATATGTGGTGAAAAATATTGCAGGTATGACTTTTTTCAGTTAAAATATTCTGTGAAAGTTTATTTATCTTTAATATAAACCTTGTGTTCGATTCATAAACCAACCTTTAACAATCCCTATGTGCCTTAGGCATCACGGAAGTTCTTTTGAAAAATCTATATAGTTCTTTGCTCTTTGAATAGTTTGAATATAAACTGGACACTGCAGGAGCGAAAATTCCTGCTCTCATTGCAGCTCAATATCCGAAAAGCAGATTGACTTTCCAGGTGCTTCCTTCCCATTATCAAAGGCCATTAGGCGGAGCATGAAAGAGGCGATCAGTCAGTCAAGGTGCTACTGGAAGCGCATTGACACCCACCAGAGGTGAACAAATTACGTGCCGGCGCACAATCGAATAATAAAAATGACTCCCTCTTTAGCAGCCGAGAATTTTGACAAATTACTGGCCACCGATATAGGGGCGGCGATACTCTTTAATAATATTCCTTTTCTCAGGTAATAAAAGGTGAATAAGGCAACAAAAGGACGCTGCGCTGCCGCCGCTGGAACGTGCTCCTGTTGCTCTTTGTGTTCGGAGCCAAACGAATAGTCTAAGAAGCTGGAAACGCGCCCAGCGAGTAAAGCAGCGGGTGTTTTTTTTCATTCATTGATTTGCCGGGTCCGCGTGAAATGTCAAAAGCCGCGGCCCACACATCGCAATCGCGTCGATATATAATAATTTCACGCGTTTTTGCCTCTTCAAGTACGCGTGATAAATGGACACAACGGAATCAAATATTTTCTTCAAGGGTGAGAGAGGAGCAACACGCACGCTTCTCAATTCCTCTATTGGGAAATTTGGAGAATTAATGCATGCAACTTCAAGGCGTTTGATCCAATATGCGACGAGGAAATTAAGAATTTATTGATTTTAATTAATCACTTCTATGTCCTCTCGCAAAAAAAAACGTGCACAAAATTATAACATCAACACAATTAAAACTTTAAAATTTTTAATTTTGTTTAATTCTTCTGGAAAATTTGCTTTTTAGTTTTTCTATGTGTGTGGCATCTCTTTTGCAATTCTTATATAGACAACAATAGAATAAAATTTAAAAAAATTGCAATTTTGGTATAATTTTTCAAATTTTATGTTAAATTTTTTTTGATGAAATTGAATATATTGCATTTGTTCCATTGTCCATATTATGGTATCCCTATGTTCTTGACCTGCTATTAAATTTTGCCCTCTTTCTTATCAATCTATATTATTACAGTTCAGAAAAATGGTGGGGAAGTATTATTAGGCAACACAAGCTTCTCTTGTGTTTAATCTTATAATATTTTATTTGCAAAAATGATATTATTTATTCATGTTTCTCCAACAGGATTCCTATTACATGGGGTTTGAATTGCATATATTATGATTAAAATGGTTAAAATATGACCGTTTTTAGGGTACCAAAGGGCAGGTTCAAAAGTCACTCACTTAAAGAAAGTTTCATCAAAATCAGCATAATTATTTCTCATATCAATCCTTGTTGTACAATGAATATGAGTATGAAGTATAATATATACATAACAAATCTGCTTTTCATACAAATATGGGTGACTAATTTTTAACTCTCACCTCTTTCCACCAGTCGCACACAAAACAAGCTCTGCCGAGTGTTCAAAATGACGTTTTGAATAATTCAAATGAAAACCAACACGTCACTCGTGATTAAGCTGCGAATTATTCGGGCTCATTTTTCTGATCTCGCCGACTGAAAGTGTCACGTTCGTGCGCAATTGTCTGCTTGGATTCACACGCGCGCTCATTATTTATAACTCGCGGCTATTATAAATAAAAAAATCCAAGCCGAACAGGCCCAGCACTCAGCAAACACCTTTGTTTGAGCTGCCATATTTCGCCAAGCGAAAAAAGAGAGAAAGAGTAGCTCGTCCAGCGCCACACTGCAGAGTGACAATCAAAAGGTTTTGATATCAAAAGCGCTTTCGGTGCGATCAAAAGTGACTAATAAGTCGGGTTGTAGAAACTAATCCAATTCTGAATTAAGATTTTCCAAAAGCGGAATCAAGGAATGTAATAATTAATTGAAAACTTTCACTTTATGAAAGAAGGGATAAATTCTTTAACTTAAAAATTCCATTCCAACTCACACAAAAAATTTTTGATTTAAAGCTACGTTTCTCTCACATATTTTTATGCTAATCATTACTTAACCACTATTAATAAAAAATAATTAAAATAAATAAGATAAAATAATAACTCTCTGTGAGGAAAACGCAGTAAAATTTAAAAGTTTTTTGTTAAACTGTTATTATAAAACTGTTAACAATCGATGCATTTATTTTCAAGAAAACGTTTGAGGTATATTGAAATTTTTAATGAATGATATTTAAATTTTTAATAAAAGATTATTATTTCTCTTTATATTTTTCAAAAACGGTGTGAACCCTTTGGGTCTATAGAATAAAAGGAGTCCACAGAAAACATTTTCAGTTTGGACTATTTTCCACCACCCCTGCTAATAATATAAAATATAAGTGCCTCTCGCCTGATTAATCGCGAATGCGGTAGGGACAAATTTGACGCTAGCGCAACTTGAAAGCGGATGTGCCGTCAGAAAAAAGAGCAGTTATTACTGCATTTAATATCAAATATAAAAAGGAATAACTGCCTTTAATGGGGTGCAACATTTTCCCATTGAGACCGCGCGGCGGCTTTCAATTGAATTGATGTATTATGGAGTTTTTAAGAGTCAACTAAAGGTGTTATCATACATTCGGGGCGCACAAGCACACAAAGGGCGCAGCAAGCTGAAAGCACTCAACCGGGAAATTGGGGGCCTCCATTGAACAATCCTCGAGCCGTGCACGGCAAATAGAGTACGCGCCGTTCTCTCTCACTCAATGCACTGCATGCGCTAAATAACCACACCGACTTTGACGCGCAGGGAGACGCATCTGTTGCTGTCATTGTTATGATGATGATGATGATTATGATGGCCGCCGCTCACCTTTTTTCATATATAATAATTTAAATCGGTTTCATTAGCTTTTTATGCCTGAGAGAGATTCGTTCTCGCGACGAGGTGCGATTTTTCGCCAGAGAGTTGAAAGGCGCGTAACTAATGCTGCTTTCGGTTTTATTACCCAGCTCGGTGCGCGTTAAACATTCCATTTTATTGCTTTTGCATACATTTAGTCGCATTGCGGAGTGCTTGTTCCTCCATTGTGCATTGGTGGAAATTATTTTGTGCGTGAAAAATTGGGGTTTTGTGTGCAGGGTCGAGGTTCCTGGGAAGAAATGGGGAAATTATCCTTTCACGCCTTTGCTTCTTTTTATTTTTAATATGCTTACCGATGCTTACATAAAACTATATAAATATCCATTTTTTTTTTAAATTTAAATATGTATTTGGCTGAAATTTATCTTGTGGTTTTTAATCTATCAACGTGAATATACCTATATCAAAAAGTGAAATTCTAAATGTAGATTTGATTTTGAATTAATTAATATTTTTAATTTGACTGCAAACTTCTGAAATAAAAGTAAAGAAAAATTAATATTTTAAGAAATTTTCAATAATCTTTTATTACATATTTGTGAAATTCTATGAAATAAATGTTCCCAAAGGGGAGATGCAGGCAGAATAATTTCTATAATCGGCTAGTCTTTGAACAAACAATCAAGCCTTAGATTGATAAAAGGTTTTAATGATTCAATTAATCCTCAACACATTCATATTAGGTCAGCTGGTCATCAAAACTGAATTTATACCATCACACATTTATCTCCAAGGTAAACAGAGTCAACGCGAGTCAATAATACAAATAATATTCCCTGGCTCATCCACTACTTTATTAGCACACAGGCTGCTTAGCATATGAAAAAGCGGAAATGAAAAGCATTGGCCGCGAGATGAATCCTCTGCTCTGTGCGCTGCTGTCGATCCAAAGCGGCTTCGCGGGCAGGGGTGCATTTTGAACGCCTTTGAACATCAGAATCGCGCGGCAGCTGCTCGCTCGTTCGCTTTTATTTGTAATAATAAGCATCATTTGCCATTGATCTGTGTACACAAATGTCGAATTTACGGCTCAGATGCACACAGGGAAAAGTAGAGCACGCCTGAATAGATTTGGATCAATGCAAAAATTGCTCACAGTTGTTCATTTTTCCGCTTTTATGTGTCTGTTTGTCTAACTTTTCAAAACGGATCAGCTAGAACTTTTATTGCTGAGAATGTGCGTTTTATTTTTGAAACAGCTGTTCTGAAAATGGAAATAAATAGTTAAAAAATAATACGAATAGTCACAAAAGTTTTAAAAACAAATTAAAATTATAAAGAAACTATTTTATCAAATTATTTAGCTTACACCCCAATGTTTCACTCGTGTCTGGCTCCGTACACTGAAAAACTCTTTTACCTTTTAAAGGTTGCAACAACCTCCAAAAAAAGGTTCCAGGGGTGTCAATAATTTGTAAACGTTAAAACAACCTTCTTGCAAGGTACGAGGCATTTTAACCATCAAAGACGGTTGTTTCAACCTTCATCGGAACGTTTGTTACAACCCTCAAGCGAAGGTAAAGGATCGCTCGGCGGCTGCAACCGCGTACCTTTTCAGAAGTTTCGCCGTACCTTTTTATAAAGGTAAAATTAACCTAGTTAATAAAGGTTGTTCCAACTTCTACTTGGTGGTTGTATTTTATTTTTCAGTTTCTTTTTTTTACCGTCCAAATAGGTTACTTTAACCTTTAACTTTTTATTGTAGGTTCGGTTGATGAAAAATAGTACAAGTCCATTTTAAAAATAATCAGGTTTTTATTGGTATCACAAACTCCAAAAGACAAAAATAAATCAAAACAATTAAAAAAAAGATTAACAGTGGGCTGTACTTATCTAGTGTTGTCACTGCTGATCGATGACTCTCGGTAGCTTCCTTCTGCTGTTTGTGAAAATACGGCTGGATTTGCACTACTCAAACCAAACGCACTAAACTTCACACAATTTAATGTTTTAGCTCAAACTTCAGTTTCCAAGAATTTCTCAATGTTGATCGGAGTTTTCAAACAAATTTATTGCCTGTAAACAAAAGATGAAATTTACATTATATTCTTTTCCATATTTCATTCACCATAATATAAAAATATATGATTACATTTAGTCAAAAATTTTAAATGATAATTACCTTTCATTGGAAAATTAGCGTCGTCCGCAAACTACCCAGGATCTTTGATATATAGAAGTGAACGTTTTGGTCCGCATGCAAATATCTGAAAATAAAATAATATTTCTTTAAGAACGGGCATTTTGCTCTTTCGATAAAATATTTCACCTTTAATTTTCCTGTACTCCATTTTTCCACGCGCAGTTTAAGCTGCCATATAATTATCAATCCACAGTTCCAATGCGACAATCGAGGTATGAAATTTTGTATAGCTCACATTAGCCTGGAATAAAAGAATAATTTTCTATAATTAGACTATCAAGCTGTATTTGCGTTGTTTGCTTGGGATGAGAAACTAGTCCTCACCCAGGACCAAAGTTGCATATTTATATGCGAAAAATACTTACTGCATCTTTTTGAGGGCAAATCACTCTGATTCTTCAAGAATATCTGCCATTTTCTTCAAAATCTTAAAATTTTTCCAAGACCGATGTGATCACAACAAGAAGAGACGCAAACTAACATGGGCGCTCAAAAGAGAGACGCGCTTCGAGTGCATTTTTAACTTTCTGTAGAGTTAGATTTACTTTCCATGAAGGTAAGCGCAACCTTTGCACGACGTTAAACGCCAACGGACGCATAGTTTTGGCGCAATTTCCAACCTTCAGCGATGGTTGGAAGCTTATTTGAAATTAAATGCCGCGTGTTAGAAAGAAAAAAAATGAAAATTTGAAGTTTTTTGCTCTTCATGGACATTTTCAGAGCTTTCATTGTAAGCTTTACATTAAAAAAAATATTTTGAAATAGTTTTTCCTATTATTGACTTGGGATTCATATCCAAAAGTGTTAAATTGTGAGGACCAAAAAATACCAACATAATATTTTTGCTTCACCAAAAAACGGAGAAGTTTCTGATAGAGTAGCTCTTACATATTTAGTTAAAAAATATAATTTTTGCCAAAACTTGCAAAATTCATTAAAAATTTATACTGGCCGCTATATTTATGCAAAATTATTAAAATTTAGTGCTCTATTAAAATATTAATTAATTAAAACCTGTGTTAAGTATTAGAAGTTTCAATTAAAATTGAGATTTGAATGAGTCGTGTGCAGAATTTAGAGTTTTAGACATTTAAGTTTTCTTTGTTTATTAAAAGTAATATGTATTTTTCAAACTCAGCTCTTAAAATTATATATTTTTATAACTATTTAATATTATTTATCGCAACCTTTGCGCAGAGGTCACGTCAACCTTTTTGCGAAGGTACCAAGTGAGTTGGAGTATACTTTTACCTTTGTGTCTAGGTTCATTCTACCTTCATAGGCGGTTAAAAGTTTTTTACCAACTAACAAAGGTTAAATTCACCTTCTGAAACTCGTTGGCTGCTAGGTCTGCAACCTTTAAGAACGGTTGATTTTACCTTTTAAGCGTCTAACTGAACAAGAAGGTTAGAATAACCGTTGCGCCGGTAAAAGTAACACTTTTTGAAGGTTCCTTTAACTTTTCTGGAGGTTAAAATCGCTTCAACCTTTTTTGAAGGTAGTTCAGTTTTTCAGTGTAGTGCTGAGAATAAGCTAAAATATATAAAATGTGGAAACATGTCTCTTATAATTTTTTTTGGAGTTTTACGAAAAAAATTATTATTAAAAATCAACTTACAAGGTTTTTTTTATGAATTTAATAAAATATATTTCCAGTATATTTCTTGTTGAATCAAAATAAAAAAAGCCTTTTGAAGAAATAATAATGGGGGCATGATTTGAACTTAAATAATAGAATTTATAATTGTTTCTGTTTTGTGACTGCGTGTTTGTGCATTTTTATTAATTCATTTTTTTTACTTATAAAATTCACATGATACATTGCTTTCTGTGATTTTTACACTAATCGCGAGAGATAAATTAATATATTTTTATTTTCGTATTGACATTTACACATCTTTGGTACACCGACTCGCAAATTTCGCCACTGCTCAAATCCCATCCGCAATCAAAATTTACATCGCGCGTGCAGCAGCTGGCGGCTCCAAATTAATAACAACATTCCAACAATAAATAATCAATTAATCATGCTGGCTGACTGGAACGATGAGAGTCGCCAATGAAATCCGCCCCTCCTATATGTGCTGTGGCGTTGAAACTTTTTACACAATCACAATGACGATTATAAATAAACAGTTTGGAGTGCAACGCAGAGAGTTGCTGACTTCTTTTGTCTTCCTCTTCCGCAATTTAATAAATTAGTTTTTTATCCGAAGAGAATAACATCCATTTATCATTTTTATACAAATTCGTAATTTGCACATTTAACGATGAATTGTCCTTTTTCAAACAGCGAGACTGGCGCGAAGTTTGTTTTTGTATGTTTCTCTTCTGCGCTCATTTGCGAGAACTCACTTTGTAGAACTGTTTGTATCATTCGAGGTCTTCCTCGACTTCATCCTCGGCCGCCTCTTGTCGCCGCTTGGCCGTGGCCATCTCGGCTGCGTGTCTCTTCCTCCACTTTGTGCGCCTGTTTTGGAACCACACCTGAAAACAAACGGATTTTTTCATAAGATGTGAGGTCTAGACCAATATTTTTTGGTGAGAGAGACGGGAAAACGAGAGAGTTGGGAAGAGCAAAGTGCGATCAAGAGTTCTGTAATAGATATTGAGCAGCAATCGGAATCTCACACCCCTCTTTTTGGTAACTTTTCTGCCGAGTTGTTGATAATAAAGAGGGCGATTCACTTCTATAGCAATAACTTAAAGTCCAAGATATGTACGTTTTCTTTCTTTCCTTCTTTTAACCAATACTAAATTAATGAAATATTGGAAAATCAATAAAATAAGTTTTATTTTAAAGGCAAAAATTAAAATATCTTTACAAAAAAAAACTTAATTTCGAAAATTGAAGACAATAGGAGGCATTTAGGGCATTCAGGTAGTTTCTTTCATCAGGAAAAAACAGGAAATCCACTTAATACAACATGACATATATTTAAAAATAAAAATAAAAAGTTAGAACTACAAATCTTTGAAGCGCTTTTCCTTATCTTGTTTGCAGGTTGAAAAAAATTTACTTATTAATTGCAGCTATTATTGCACAATTACATTCATGCTTTTGTTAGATTATAAATGAAACAATTTAATTTTTTGGCAAAAATAAAATATATATTATGTGTTTAGTTTTAGTTAATTTAAAAAAAAAATAATTAATTAATAATAACCTAATGAACCTGACATAAAACGTAGAAAAAAAATCCTTTTTGTTTAGTCACTTCATCCTAAAATTAGTGGTATTTGTTAATTTAAGTTTGATTGACATTAAGTTTTGATAGAAAAATTGTTTTCATATTGTAAATCTTTTCTAGACAAATTTTTTTTATAGATTGAAGAGCCCTAGCTGTTGTCTCTTGTAAGAGCCAAGATGCAATTTGATGCAACCAGCGCATCAAAAGTCTGTAGTGGCGCAGTTTGATAAGAGACACGACCCTCCTTCTTGTTGCAGAAAAATCTAATGGCAAAGTTTGTCGGAGGAAAGTTTTGTTATGGAAGCCTTGTAGCATTTATAGGATGAGCTGCTTTTAGGGCAGATCATTTATTTCGAAATCTATTCTTGTTGTTACATATCCCAAAAAGAACAGAGACCCGCGCTCATTCGCAAATCCGATCCAAATGGTGCACAAATTGCCACGCCGTTAGCGCAAAAACGTAATTAGCAGACCGAGCGGGCATTGCGCTGAAAATGTTTAATAATAAAAGTGGAGAGAGAGGAGATAAAATCAAAACAGCAGCGGAGAGCGCTGATAGCGTAATTACAAAACAACGGCAATTACACGAGCAATTACAAACGCAATTGAATAATGTTGTTGTTGGCATTATAATAATTTTACATGTTAATAAAGTTGTTGGGTGTATGCGCCATTAATGTGGTTACGAGTGAGCAAGGCATTCTCTGGGGCGGCGTGTGTTGCGGCGCAGCAGCAGCGTCGGGCGGCGGGCGGGCGGGCTGGCGGGCGATAAGGGCTGTGTGTAGTTATGCCCCTCCGCCGCCCCGTCCCCGGGCGTGATTGATGAGAGCTACACGCCAACTAAATAGCGCGTAATTTGCAAATTCGGCCTTAATTACACCCCTGCCTCTTATTTTGTAATTTAACGACGCCGCGCCGATGTTATCAAAGTGTTGTGCCGAGCGAGCTTTTGCCTCCACCACCGTCGCTCTCTCTCTACTGCTGGAGAAGACATTATTTTAATGTACTTAGAAAGGGGCTAATTACAAGCAGCATTATATGGGTATTAATTTTGTACGCGTCATAATAATGCTGCTAATGATATTAATATTTCACAACACGCGGCTCGCAATAAAACTCGAATTACGCAAAATGCGTGGCGAGCAAAGAGAGAAAACGACGGCGAGGGTGTAAAAGCGAAAACCTCCCTCTCGTTGCTCTTCCTCGAGGTGTGCGGTTTGGTCATAACGACCAGATGGTCACTTAGGTCATTTACCCAAAACTGGAGGAAAAGACTAATTTATTTACTATCAAATTACCGATTATTTAATCTGGTAGTATAAAAATGTGTATAAACAATCCAATCTTAGCAGAAACTTTTTTTTTAGTAGAAACGAAATGACTTAAGTACACATGCTGAGAATTAAATAAAAAATATAAAAATCTCTGTATGATTAAAGGATAATTTAATTTAATAAATTCATTAATATTATAATAATAACTAAACAGTTGATGTTTGAAAATTAAAAATTTTCAACAAAAAAGCCCATCGTTAGAATGAATTAATTACTAGGATGACAAAAATGCTTTTCTGTTGTCACAAAGGGTAATTCTCCAACGCAAAAAAAAAAAAATTAATACCAGGGCAGAAATGCGAGGCAAATTAAGCAGATCCCCCGGTGGAAAAAGGGCTATGGCGGCCGAGGCAGCACAGACGGCAATTACAATGAACTGTGTATATGAAACGCAGTCTCTCTCTTTGGCTCTTTGCATGCCCAGCAATATAATGCAAGGCGAGAAAAAAGACTTTCATAAAGAAGCGAGAGAGAGCAGAGCGCGCGGGCGAAATTAAACTTTTTTATGAGCACTGTTTATTTTTTCCTCGTTTTCATATTAAAAAAATTCTGGTCGTCGTCGCTTCCTGAAGGGAGGATATTTGTCATCGCGCGCTGCCGGCAGCAATATTCCTCCCCGCGGAATAATTTAATTAAGATAAAGAGTTTTTTCCCCGACTAAAACATTGACAACAATTTTTCCTCTCTGCGCGCGCCGCCCCGTTTTATTATGCCGGCGAAAGGGGAGTTTTTTAATTAGTCGCTTTACATGTTATTTCCTCTCTTGCCGCACATTCGCCCGTAGTTAGTTGGCCTCGTTTGCCTCCGCAACTGCTGCCTTTGCAAACTCTTTGCCACACCGCACACTCGCACGTAAAATACTTTTATGTTTCGGCGCGAAAAAGTGGAAAAGCTCTTGGAGATGACGCATTCGGGGGTAAATTTTGGCACCCAAAAGCGAGAAGATTTTATTGACTAAAGCCCGTCGTAAAATAATGCACTTTTATTATCTGAAAAATAATTCCTTGAAGTTTCGCTTTTTCAAAAAATGCAAGAAACAAGAAAAAACAAACAAATAGAAAATACTGCAGTCTGAGATGAATAAATAAGTATAAAAATTAGATAATGTAAAAATAATTGTAATGTAAAGGAATTTTTTAATTTATACACGTCTTTGTGCGGATTGTATGCATATCACAATTGCAAAATATTCATTATGAATTAAAGTTATTATTTAAAAATGTGTACAAAATAATAATTGTTATTACAATATCAAACGTTTTACAAAATAAAATTGTTAATACTTATGCACAAAAAGAAGTAAAGCAAGGAAGTATAAGAATTTAATAGTTTTGGGTCACAGATTGTTCAGGAAAACCCAAGGCTATTTTTAATTAGATGGTTTATCTAGTAAAATTTAACAATGTGATTAGAAACAAGAAAATTATCAACTTCATTTTATTTATTTCCTTGGCGCGATTGGGATTGCCAAACATGCGTATATAGGTGCTGTGTACAATTTTTCCAATAACCTTATCAGCCATTTTTTTCTGCCTGTATAGGACAGTTGAAGTTGAGGAAACTCCGATTTGAATCTATTTTTTTACAGCTTAGAACAAAAATTAATCTCAATATTGAACATATTTGCTTGCGTGCGATTCATGGCGATAATAAAAGAGGGAAGTAACAAAAGTTTCACCTGACAAACTTTCAGGAATAAGTTGATCAATCAGTAGAGATACAATTTAGAAAATTCTACCTCCAATAATTCAAAAATTCCTAATTTTAAATTTATTCGATTTGTTTGTTTTTTAATAGAAATTTACAACCAAATCATGAAGCATGCATGCTATTGAAATATTAAAAATATTTCGTCAAGCTTCTGATCGTAATTTTTTGTCCAAGTGGAGGAAAGGGTGATTAACATAATGTACTGCTCTTTTGTTGCGCACCGCTGTGCAAATAAACGTATAAAAGTGACCATCAGATCGTAGCAGCAGCATTTTCCGAGACTAAATTCCGAAGAGGGGGTTGCGTGATTCATGCGCAATATGTGCAAGTTGCATGCAGTGTTTAATTAAGGTTTAATATGCGCGGGCTGCGGCCCCGAATGAATTATTACTTTATTATCATAACAGGGGACGAGCGCGGAGAAAAAGAAGCAGCAGGGAAGGCGGTGCTTTATTGAATTGTAATGCAGTGCGGGCCGAGAGCATGAGAAAGAAAAGGAAAAAAGATTTTCCTGCCAGCCAGTGGACACTCGTACACGCACAAATCTGCCAGGCGGGAAAAACGCCGGGTCGCTTTTTTGCTGATAACCGCCCTACTAAGAAAATAAAAGGGAATCCTGCAAATTGCGCCTCCGGATGAATTTATTGTTTTCGTTTTTGCCACAGATTTGCCGAGGGGTCCAGAATGCATGTGCTTAGTCCAGCAGCGAACAGGGGAAAGAAAGCAATAATTTTTTTTCTAGATGTTGACCCCATTATAAGAATGGAAATAGTGTTTCAAGAGAAGTAATTATGTTACAAGTATTTTGCCAGTCTATCAAGTAATTGTTTTTTTAACTTCATTTTCTTCATATTTCAAGGTAATCAAACAAGATACATAATGATTGAGTTTGCTTGGAAAATACAGTATAATTAATGAGATTACTTATACTGAACATTTTTACATTCGCAGAGATCAAAAATTTTCCAGAAGTAATATAATATTTTTTTTTTAACTGGGTGTTTCAATACTTTACTTATTGCTATAATAAAGCAACATTTTTTCATTACATTAAAATCTCCAGGATATATACAACCATAAACTTGAACCGCAGCGAATCGCGCCAATGATGTCGGCGGTGGCAAATCAATTCCCGGAAGAGCGGCGAAAAGCGTAGCCACCCCCGTCATTAGACCAGCAAGAGACGTAAGGGTGTGCGAAGTGCTAGAGCACACCTCGCTCACTTTCTCTCTTTTGCAGGCAAGGATGCAAAACTCGACGTGCGGCGCGGATGTTATTATACACGCGACAGCCGAAATAAGGGAGCTCGGCGCGGATTATATTTCCGAGTGTGTGTTTGCGAGCGAGCGAGAGACAAATCGCCTGTTATAATTGCCTGGCTCAGCACATAATTGAATAGCGGGCGAGTGAGAGCTGGGCGGGCAGGCGGGCGGGGCACCACGCAAATCCTGGCAAGGGGAATTCAATAAAAATGTTAATGCGGCACGATACCACAAGTTGTTTCCCAGCATCCCTTGCTACTTCATCCCTGGCAGCGGAAAAGGGCTTTGCCAAACGACAGGGGATGTATGAGCTGTAGATATAAACTTTTTAACATACTTATCTCCGCCGTAATAGCGTGCGCGCCTCTCTCTTTCTCTCTGCTCTTGCAGCGTCGGATCTCGGCGCGGCCGTTGTGTTCTTTTTATACTCGTTAAATTAGGTTTCAAACACGGATTTAAACTAAATGAGCTGCTCGTAATGGAGATTTCAGAGGCGGCTTTATATTGTTATGGGCTCAATAGAGTTTTGTGTGTTAATGCCCAAGCGTCCGCCACGCCAGATAAAAATTGCAGTCTATATTGCTCTCGGCTCTTTATTTTTATACACGCGGCTCATCGGTCTAATTGCACCGCTCGGAAAAGATGGATTTAGGGAAATTAGGTGCTTCAAACAAAAACGGTATTCCAAAAAAGGCACCTGATTTATTTTGGATTTTAGTTTCTAGCACTGTTACCTATCAAAATAAAGATGTATGCAATATTGAAATTTCTTTGAGATAAATAAATCAGTTGAAAATTAATTTTCCAATTATAAAATTCCTGATTTAATGTTTCATCTTTGCTAATTGGGTATTCTGAAGTCAAACAAGCTGTTTTTGCACCGAATTTAGTTCTCTCTTGACAGCACAAGTAAAAAATTTCATTCGCTCTCTAAATTCAGTAAAATATATTTAACTATTCGAGAAAATAAATTTGTGGATAAAATGTAACCAAAAGTAATTATTTTAAATGTTATATATAATTTTTATTTTTTGCCTATTATTTTTTTATACTTTTTTTAATGATATTATTTGGTATTTCAATGCCAAAATAAGCAGAGATTTTTCTTCTAAAAAAATAAAATTTTACACACATTTTTTTGACCGCGTATTACTTTTATTAAAAATGTATGTCTTAAATCTTGTCAATGATAAGTGAAAGTAAATATTTGTAAATTTAATGTTAATTAGAAATACATCAAAATACAATTTTTAACCCTAAAATTAGATTCGCAGGGATTAATTTTTTCCTTATTTAAAATATTTTCAAAAACCTCCAATTTGATGAGTGATTTTACAGGATTGTTATCATCTCAATCGGAGTGTATGTATTTGAACGCGTTGTGTATCAGTGGCCAAATCAAATTACACGCGAGTTAAACAGTGTTGTCAAAACACGGGCGCGGTCGCGTGGCCAGATAAAAGGCGACGCGTGCAGCGCCGCCACCGCCGACACCCCCGTCGCGCTCAAGGGGCCGATTTGTTTTCATATCAAATCGTCATCTCCTAATGTTTTTGTTCACACGCGTGCCGCAATCGGAATTGTCATCGTTCTGAATATTGGTCGATTAATTTGCATTTGGACAAAGAGAATGAATTTTTATCAAACGAATTTTATTCAAATTTCGAGCTATAAAAGTTGCAATCTGACTTTTTCCCACAGAGATTCAGCATTAAAATTTCCCCTCATGCAATAATTCCAACTTGAAAAGTAATAAAAAGCAAATTATTTAAATTACTTACTTTGACTTGTGACTCGGACATGCCGAGGGCGAAGGCGAGTTTCGCTCTTTCGGGGCCGGCGAGGTACTTGGTCTGCTCAAAGGTTTTCTCCAGGGCGAAGATCTGCTGGCCGCTGAACGTGGGCCGCGTGTGCTTCTTCTTGGGGTCCTTGTCGGGGTGCGACGAGCCCCCGGTGTGCGACTGCTGGTGCTGCTGCTGCTGATGGCCGCCGTTCTGCTGCGAATTCCACACTGCAAAGGAAGGATAATAATGGCCGTTTAATGCGGGCAGGTGTTTTTAAAGAGCGCGCACAGGTAGGCTGTAAATAAAGTGGCGGCGGCGGGCGCAGATTTGGCACTTTAAGGGCCAGGCCACTTTAATGGTGCGAAGAGCACGTATTGGAACGACAATTATTGCTCCGACACGGTTTCCGCTTATCTTGTGGCCACATCTTTCCACGGAGCGCGTCGAGCTCCATTATTAAGGCCACCATAAGAAATAATTCTCTGAGAGCGATTATTATGAAGGACCGCGTGCCTCAAACTAAATTGACTTGGAAACGGGTTGAGGAATGCGAATGGAATGCATCTTCTTTGTGATCGGAGGCGCTTTTATTGGTGGCTGTAATAATTTACAAACATCCTTTTTCGTTGCAAAATTCCATTTCTACATTTTAAGGTTCATAAATTTTATTTTATTTAAAAAATTGTAAAATTTTTATTCATATTTGCAATGTTTCAAGTATATTAAAAAAAAAATGAACTTAAGCCTACTAAATTACTGTTTGATCATTATATAAATTTCAGGAAATTAAACAATATTTTTTTAATGATTTAAAGCAATAAGTAATTCTTATTAATATATTGAATTAATTTTGCCACCAATATTAAGTTTCAATCTGTATAAAAACTTAAGTTAAAATGATTGTTTTTTGTGTTACAAACAGAAGTTCCAGTAAATTCCTTTTTTTTAATTATTATAATAAAGCTGAATAAATTTTATTTTATATTTTAGTTTGATCATTGTGGCCTTTTTGAACATCTGCGGTCTCTTTATCAGAGGCGACTAAATTTGCGTGGATATAGTCAAAATTCGGTCGCCTGGGATGGGTGAGAGAGTGTCGGGCTGAAAATCGCAGCGTCACCAGAGAGAGCGAGCGAGCGGCAGCAGCTCATTTGATAATATTCAAAGTGGTCGGCGCCATCAAAAACGGATTTGATAATCTGCAGGCTCATCACACTGGCGACGGCGCTGCTGCTGATTCAGATATCATCATTAAGAAGAAGCAGCACCCTTTTGCGCGCGCCGCCGCCGCCGCCGCACCCCCCGTCTCTTGCAAACAAGAAAAGTGATGTTCCATTTATGTGATACTGCCGCATTATTATACGGACGGATCCCATCGGCCGTAAAAGCAGAGCGAGCGAACAAGCCGGGGAAAAGAAGAGGAAAAATAGTGAGCTGGCTGGCTGGTCCATCGGCCCAAGAGCAGCAAGAAAGACAGCTCGGGGGCTGCAGCGGCGGCGCAGGCCTCCGCAGGGGGTGGGGAAATGATGACGTTTGCCTGAATCTGCGCGACGAGATTGGATGGGTTCACAAATGGCTCTTATATATCTGGGAAACGGTTCCATCGCGTGTAGTGTAATCATATAACACCAAACTATACAGCGCGAGATGTAGTGAATAAAAAGCAATTGTAGCTGGCTCCTCTCTAGCTCGAACAGGGAATTGATACTTCTTTCTTTCTTTCTTTCTCTCTTTTTTTTCATCTCGCCCGTTACAAGGGAGGACGAGAGGAGGACGCGCGGCGGCTCTCAATAACTAGAGATATGTCCTCGCTGGGTGTGTTTGATGATATAAAGTCCGCTTTCTCTCTTTTTTTCGATCCTTTTGGCCGGGCCCTGCGCGAATACAAGACATAAAAATGCTGCTGCTGCTTCATAAAAATATCTCGCGCCACTTTATATCAGGGGGGCCCTCGGCTTTTATCTATTATTTATCGGAGTGCCACTTTGATGAAAATTGCACGCCAGAAGTGGCTTTTCTGTTGGTCTTTTAATTTATTGCACCAGGATTGATGCGAACAAATTATCGCCCAGTTGCGTGACTCGAATTGAAACTGCCGAATGAGGAAATCAGGCCTAAAATTCGCTCTATCGAATACGCAGTAGAAACTTTTGAGCAAATTTTGATGAACCTCTGTGTACAGAAGATCTTTTATGTTGTCAAATAAATACAATTTTATTATTAAAATGCATACAATTGGATTTCTTGACCAAGTCGACATTTTTTCTTGATCACATGCTTGTGCCTGTGCAGATTGTCAAAACCAGGTCGAAACAACCATCAAATAAGCTGCTATGTCTAGATTTAACCAAAAATTTCAAAGATTATTATAAATGATATATATTGTTTCTTTGTTGATTATGCTTAGGTTTTGAACTGGAATTAACATTAAATTTTATCGTAATGTTTCAGATGTTTCTTATATCTAGCATTTCAATTCTTGATTTTTAACAGCATACAAGGCATAATAACCGCAGCCAAAGAATGAATAATTAACAACAAAATTTTGCAAAACTGTAGAAATCAGTAATAAAATTATTTATAAATAAATATTATTAATACAAAATTAATTAAAAATCGCTGTTTCTTAACGAAGAGAGTAGTTAAGTTTATCTAAAAAAATTGTATAAGAAATAATTAAAAACGAAACAAAAGTACTCAAAAAAATTAAAAAAAGGACAACACATTTCAAATATTATTTCTTTTGCTTGAAACCCGGGGCAGAAAATTAAAAGCTATTGAGACAGAATCCATGCAATTCAAAAAATAAACGACCAAAATTTTCATGAGTCTGCGATCTTCTGCTCTAAAATGAATGGAATTTATTGCTCGCAAACCATAGAGCATATTTCCAAAATAATAGCAGCATTTTTCTATGGTTCGTGAGGACATTTCTGACCACATAGTCACATTTCTTTTATCTGAATGGGGACATAAATTACGCGTATGTGTATGTTGGTTATTTCACTTGAAAAATCGAGCACGCATCTCCGTGGAAAGCAAGCGGAGAGTCCGAAAGGCAATGATGAAGTTGCTTTTTTGTGGGGAGGCAGGCAAATCATAAAAGCCAGCAGTCGCCATTCCCTATCTTGTTTTATTTACTGTCTCCTTCTTGGCTCGGCTCCTCCGACTGAGAACATTTGGACCTCTCTCGGAATTATGGAAATGGCCGCTGTGCATTAACATAATTCCCCGACTTCATGGCATAGCAATTCGCCATTATCTCGGATTAAAAATTAAGCTCCACGGAGGAGGCGCTCGTTTTTTCCCAAATGGGCCTTTCGAGGCACTTTAACGGCAGCCTTAAAGAAGACGTCACCATATTAAATTATTTGTTTATCGTGACCCGTAATCCCTTATCATTGTTACAAGAAACCACATTTTTCCTGGCTAAAAGTTAGGCAACCCGCGCGTCAATCGTGCATTCCAATTGCATACTTTTGTATAACCGACATAAAAATAAATTAAAGTCATCCCCGTCCAGAATTGATCGACACCAATTTAGCTTCCGTGAGCGTTATCTGCGCCCCAGTTGCGTGGCATTATTTATAAAACCATCCCTCATCCCCCGAAAAGGCACTCTGTCTCTCTTAACACAAATCTGGCTGGCTAATTTGATTTATTCCCGTTGTTGACACAAAATATTTTGTGCCCCCCTGATTAATAAAACCTGTCCTGCACGACAGATGTTGCTATGCTTCCCGACTAATTTTTGTCAAGTTTGTTTGCTCAGAAATTCGTCGATCGGCGCAGCAGCGCTTGATTAGCTGCTCTCGAGCCATACCTGTGTTTTTGCCCCCACGGAACAAGCTAGGCGCGCATTTGGTGCAGCAGAGGTGATAATAATCGCCTCGCGCTACTTGATGATGAATTGCAGATAAAGCGACTAATAACGCGCCCAGCTGTCGTTCGGAAGCACCGCAAAATGTCACACGCACACTCTCTCGCTCGCGATTTTATTAGTCAGCATCATCAAATGTTTACATTGCACCAATTACGCGCGCGCCGCGCCTCCCTCTGTTACGCCCCGCGACTCCTGCTGTCGGAACGTATGTTTCATAATCCCTCGCAGTACAACGGTCTATCATATTAATTTTCAGAAATTTGTTGCTCTTGATTTTTTTCCAATTTGCTTTGGTACGTTGTCATGCCATAAGTAAAGTGAAACATCCATAATAATATTATGTAATTTTTGGAGTAAAATTAAATTATTTCAAACCAAAATTTATATAATTTATTGGAAAAGAACTTTTTTAAGTGGGTAGAAAAAAAAGTTGTTTATGTAATTTATTTGCACATAACATTGCTGAAATGCTTGAAAATTCGCTAATTTAAACTCTGTAAAATTCTAAAATTTCTTGGCAGATCTAACAATATTTTATTACAAAAGGCGAATGAATTTATAAAAAAAAATTATAATAAAATAAAAATAACAATTTGATAGCTGAATTATTTATTGAAAAATTAATAAAATATTAATTTACTTTGAAGTTAAATATATGAATAATAAAATTTTGTTTGAAAAAAATTTGCCGTCTATGAGTCGATCTTGGCAGTGAAGAGAACGGACTTTTCCTCGTTGTGTATATTTCTTGTAAATTAAAGTCTGCGAGCAGCGCGTTTACTCATGAAATAGAGTGGCAGAACTGACAGTTTTTTTTATTTTATAAAAAAATTTAAAGAGGAAATGCTCGTTCTCGTCACCATAAATATTTTTTGTTTATTCTTTTTTAAATATTAAATTAAGTTATTCGCTGCCACAGCTGCTCAACTCACACCCTCAATGGGCTTAAAACTCGTCAAAACTATTAATATTAATCGAGTATGGACACAGCGTGCGCATCGAGCTCACCCGTGTGCTGCTGCATCGACTGCAGCAAATCAATCTTTCGCCGCGCACCCTTTAGCAGCAGAGGACACTGCAGCGCTGCACACGGAGGGATGATGTCACGGCTATTAATCCACAAATAATGCGATTTTGCGGCGTCAGTGACGTCCGGATTGAATCGTGCTATTTATATATAAGTGATGTGGAATTAATGAGGAAAGGACACGCGCGCGCAGCATAAATATAATTCAATAAAGCGAGAGAGTCACGGATGTTGGCAATGGTCAGAGAAAAGGAGCAAGCTATGCAACACTCGCAGCCGGAGAGCGAGATCCACTTTTTGGCGACAGCTTGCACCAA